GTGTGTGTATGTGTGTGAAAGTGCATGTGTTCTTGAATTTAGTATGTAAGTATTTTATTAAGAACTTTTGCATGTAAGTTCACCAGGGAAAATGATCTATAGTTTTCTTTTTGTGTGTATGCCTTTATCTGGTTTTGAGATCAGGTAATATTGGCTTCATAAAATGAGTTTGGCGGTGTTCTTTTCCTTTCTGTTTGTGGAACAGTTTGAGGAGCATTGGAATCAGCTCTTCTTTAAAGATTTGTTCTTTTAGTCTTGTTTCTTTAGTTTCTGCCCCGGTTTTTATTAGTTTTTTACCATTTACTCCTTTGGGGTTTGAGTTGTTCTTGCTTTTCTAAGGCCTTGAAGTACAGCATTCAGTTATTTATTTGAGATAGTTCTGATTTTTAATGTAAGCACATCTGCTTTATTTTCACTTGATTATAGACATTTATTTATATTATTTATTTATTTATTTATTTATTTATTTATTTATTATTTATTTTTGAGGCAGGGCCTTCCTGTAGCCCAGCTGGCCTGGAACTAGCTATATAGACTGGGCTGGCCTCAGTCTCACAGAGATCTGCCTGCTACTGCCTCCTGAGTACTGGGATTAAAGACATGCGTCACCATGCCTGGTGATGCTAGAAATTTTTAAATTTCCTCCCTGATTTCTTTACCAACACCTCGTCTAGTATACATTTTTAGATTGGAGAGTTGAGGCCATTTACATGTAAGATCGTTATTGATATAGTGCTTCTGTGGTGCTGACTTGGTGGTGGTCATGAGTTGCTTTAGTTTGTACTTATTTTGAAATGTCTTTATTTTGTTAATTTAAGCACAAGTTTGTCAGATATAGAAATCTTGCTTCACAACTGCTTGGTTTTTAAAGTTGATCAAAGGTCTGATGTTTTCTTGATGAGGTATCAATTTTCCCCTTACAGCTTTCAGTATTGTTCTTCCTGTTGTACTTTCAACATCTTGACTGTGATATGTTGTGGAGAGGTTCTCTGCCTACATCTGTTTGGTATCCTAAATGCTTTTTGTACTTAGTTACCTACTATTGTTTTAGTTGCCTTTCCTATTGCTGTGATAAAAATACCCTAACTAAAGCAACTTAAGGGAGAAGGTTTATTTTAGCTCACAGTTCAACCTACAATCCATCATGACAGGGAAGTCAAGGCAGCAGGACCCTGAGGCAGCTGACTTCATAAGTCCTCAGTCAGAAGGAGAGTGATGAATGCATGCTTGCTGCTCAGTTCCCGGTCTCTATTTATGTAGTCCAGGATCCCTTGCCCAGGGAATGGTCCCACCCTCAATCAAGATGGATCTTCTCAAGACTAGGGCCCACATGAAGGGTGGAGCCGAAAGGGTCATCATCTCTGTCCCTTCTGCTGATGTCCCCATGTTTGTGATGGGCGTGAACCATGAGAAATACGACAACTCCCTCAAGATTGTCAACAATGCCTCCTGCACCACCAACTGCTTAGCCCCCCTGGCCAAGGTCATCCATGATAACTTCAGCATCGTTGAGGGACTCATGACCACAGATCATGTCATCACAGCTACCCAGAAGACTGTGGATGGCCCCTCTGGGAAACTGTGGCATGATGGACGTGGGGCTGCCCAGAACATCATCCCTGCATCCACTGGTGCTGCCAAGGCTGTGGGCAAGGTCATCCCAAAACTGAATGGGAAACTCACTGGCATGGCCTTCTGTGTTCCTACACCCAATGTGTCTTTCATGGATTGGACCTGCCACCTGGAGAAAGCTGTTAATATGATGACATCAAGAAGGTGGTAAAGCAGGCATCTGAGGGTCCCCTAAAGGGCATCCTGGGCTATATCAAGGACCAGGTTGTTGCCTGCAGCTGTAACAGCGATACCAGTGCTGGGGCTGGTATTGCCCTTAACGACCATTTTGTCAAGCTCATTTCCTGGTATGACAACGAATTTGGCTACAAGAACAGACTGGTGGACCTCACGGTCCACATGGCCTCCAAGGAGTAAGAAGCCCTGAACACTCACCCCAAGAGGAAGTTTGAGGAAGAGAGAGGCCCTTGGCTGGGGGGGGTGTTGGGCCCTTGCTCCAACTCAGCCCCCAACACACTGAGTATCTCCCTTCAGTTTCCATCCTAGACCCCCAGAAGAAGGGGAGGGGCTTAGGGAGCCCTATTCTCTTGAATACCATCAATAAAGTTCACTGCATCCTTCTCCCCGCCCCAAAGATGGGTCTTCTCACATTAATTAATGCAATCAAGATAATCCCTCACTGGTATGCCTGAGGCTCATCTCAGGTGATCCAGATTCTGTCATGTCGGCAATTACCATTAACTGTTACAGATGTTCAATTCTTTTTTTAGATTTGGTGATTTTTCTGCTGTAATTTCACTGAATAGATTTTCTAGAGCTTTAGTTTCAAATTTCCAGCTCCTTTTTCTATCCTGTGGAGTCTTATTTTTGGTCTTTCTCCCATATCCCAAACTTCTTAGAAGTTGTGGTCATGTCCATTTACTTATTTATTTTCATCAATGTTTAAATATAACATACTGACCTTGCCATCCATTATTTTTACTCCTTTTTTTTCTTTTCTCTTTTTGCAAAATCTTATCTGTTGGTAGTTCTGTGTACTGACTTTAAAAAAAAATATTTATTATTCTTTTATTTTATGTGTCTGAGTGTATTGCCTGCATGTATGTGAGTGTACCTGTATCGTGCAATGCCACGGAGGTCAGAAGAGGGCTTTGAATTCCCCTGGAGCTGGAGTTGAGGATGGTTCGTAGCCTCCATGTGAGTGCTGGGAATCGGACCCGGGTCCTCTGCAAGAGCAGTCAGTGCTCTTAACTGCCGAGCCATCACTCCAGCCCCTGTGCACTGCTTTTTATACTTGATTGATTGACATATTTCTGCTTGACTCTTTTTCAGAATCTCAATTTATTTGCTGAATGTTTCCTTTGTTTTTTAATTTTCTTATCTTTATTTCTGAACATCTCATCTATTTTGCTAACTCTAATCTATTTTACTAATTTTAGTCCTGAAGGGATTTCCTTTCTCCATTCATCTGCTTGCTTGAGTCTTCTCTGTGATCACTGGATGTTTTTAAAAATAGGATTCTGAAATCTTTTTCTAGTACTTCAGTTATTTCATTATCTTTGGTCTCAGTTATTGAGAAGTCTTTCACTGGGCTAGTCAAAACCAGTTAAATCTAAGATGTCAGTTGTCAACTTGACACACAGGGGAAAAAAAGAACCTCAGCTGGGGAATTTCCTCTTTCGGTTGGCCTGTGGACATGTCTATGAGGCATTTTATCGATTGTTGAGTGATGCGGGCGGGCCCAGTCCACCATGGGTGGTGCCACCCCTGGGCAGGTGGTCCTGAGCACAGGCCAGAGGAGCGAACCAGTAAGCAGTGTTCTTCCATGGTCTGTTTCAGTTCCTGCCTCCAAATTCCTGCTTGACTTTTCTCAAACATCAACTGTGATCAGGATGTGGAAGCCAAATAAACCCTTTCCTCCCCAAGTTGGTTTTGGTCAGAGTGTTTTATCACAGCAATAGAAAGCTACCTAGGACAGATGACTTCCAGAGAGAACCCCCCCCCACACACACACACAACCTTTAATTCTATATAATCCTATTTACATGCTGAAAGATGCACTCTGGTACCATTATGTTTGACAACGCCATGCTAATTATGGGGAAGACCTGTAGAAGGAGCAAAAAGAGGCAGTGGCTTAATTTCCAGAAAGTGTCTGCCCATTTCCAAAATGACGTGAATATTCTCCTTTACTAGACTGCTCCCCTCTCCCCCTCCCCCACCACCTTGCTTTGTAGCTCTGGCTGGCTTGGTACACTGTGTAGCACAAGCTGTCTTCAAACTTCCAGCAACTCTCCTGCTTGAGTCTTTCAGGTGCTGCAGTCACAGTTGTGTGTCACCATGCCCACGGTCCCTCATTTCTTGTACCCGTTCAACCCCTAGCAGGGGAATTTGATTGACCCTATCTCCCATTTCTCCTATTCTTGGCCTAGAAAACTTATTTTCTATAAACTTTTCACAGTTGATGATCTTAGAGTTTTTGTCACAATGATGAAAGCTGCCTAACACAGGTAGAATTTTCACATTCTCTGAATAGAGGCAAAAAAGTTATGAACTTGGAACTATTTCATTTTGTGTAGTATGGATTAAACTTGTTATTGATGCTAACACTTTTCCCTTGCCTGTTTCTGCTGAGCTGCCAGTTTATGTGAAATGAAACCTACTTAAAACATATTTCCTCTTTAAGAGGAGCCTTATAATTTATTTATTTTTAAATTTTCTTATTGTAGGGGTTGGAGAGACGGCTTAGCAGTCTTCCAGAGGACCTGAGTTCAATTCCCAGCACCTACATCTGACTGCTCACAATTGCTTGTAACTCCAGCTGCAGGGATCTGATACCTGGGTCTTCCACAGGCACCTATACTCTTGTGCACATAACCCCCTAATTAAAGAAATAAAAATAAGTCTTAAAATGTTTTCACTGCTCTTCCTTGTTCTCCCTCTTGAATGTTACAGTATACCCACGCACGCGTCTGTTTACATATATACATGTATACATATAAGCTAGGATCTACATATGGGGGGCGTACAGTACATGGTGCTGCATCACACAAGGACAGTTTAAGAGGAGCAATCCTATTGTGGTAGGTTAAGTCCCAGTGGAGATGCTAGTGCCATCAAAGAATCAATCAATCAGTCAGTCATCAATCAGTGAGGAAGCCTCTCCTGTTTGTTGCTATAACAGAAGGATTGAATGTGGTTCAGAAAAATCTGGTGCGTGAGAGGCAACAGATGCTAGGATACAGGCATTCCCATGCTTGGCACTCTGTACCATCTTTTTGTTCTTTCCAGGTCCTTTGTGATTTTCCAAAATTCCCAGTCCTCTCTGCTGCAAACCCACTCCAGGTCCAATATTGGAGATACTCTGCCCATCTGTCTTTCTTTAAAGCCTTTTTTCAAGCCACATACAACAAGATTAAAACACATAAAAATTATTTACAATATTCCTAAACATCACCACACAACCAGTCAGTTTATATAATTTAATTTATCCCCTTTCCTTTGCCTTCATGTAAACAGCAGTGGAGGTAATAGTTTTGTGAAGAGGTTGTTTATTTTTCCCACCATCTAAATCCTGGAACTATTTCAGTCCAGGAAAAGTCCTAATAGATAATGCTGAGAGAGAAGAAGTAAAAGATATTTTTTAATCAAATTTTAATTATGCAATAATACAGTATTTAGGATTCTCTGGGAGAGAGGAGGGCAGTATGGAGTTGTCACGGTGGATGGTGATGTGGCTGGGTGATAGCTGCATGTAGATTGATAATGTCTTTATCAATTCTATTCAAGAGACTGTTTATTTTTAAAGGATTAAAGTGTATTTACAACTTAGTTTCAGCCTTTTCAGAAAGGTCTGGAAGAATCAGGAGGTTGGATGTGGTCAGAGGAACCAAGCTGCAAGGAGGGGTGGCCTGTTTTGACCTCATCCCTCTTAACATTGGAAGCCATCCCATATCATTCAAATAAATGAAAATACATCTTAAGGATAAATGCCCTTGATATGGGAATATCAAGTTGATGAAAGGTTGTGATGGTAACCTCAGCATGTTAACAGGATGGAAGGTCACGATACCCTCCCTACAGCACCTGGTGGACAGAACAACTTTGGATGCTGAGTGTCTCAGTGTGCTTCCTATAGGACAAGGCACTACAACGTTAGTTTAGACTCAGGATAAGGTTTCCAAGTCCTGGGCTATCATATGTTCCTAGCCACCTCTACTACTGTACAGAGGAAGGTCAGAGATGATGCTGTGGTTATTACTGGAGACCCATTTCACCCATCTGACCCTTATGATGGCTCCCATCTGCAGCCTCAGTCTTCTTCCTAGAGCTGAATTGTTGAGAAGAACCTGCCTTTCCTACCTCACTTCTCACATGACCCTACTGTTTCCATAAACCTAGAGTTGAAAGCTTGAGGTTGACTAAGTGTGTAGGGCCAGGAAGGTAAGAGCTTGGAATTACGAAGGAGAAAGTGAAGTGATGGTCAGCACTCACTGTGAGCTCTTGTGAGCACTTAGGGCCCACTCATTCACCAAATGTGCTTCAAAGTAGATGCTAGTGGCGGTGATGAATAGTCCAGTGCCTTACTCAAATTATCCTGGGTTTCTCAGGGCACTGGTGTACGGGAATCACCAACAGGGAGCTCACAGCATGGTCTGAGGAAAGCGATGGAGCCAAGGGAGCTCCAAAGAGCAGTTCTGAGGTGGGTCTTGAATACAGGCTAGGATTCAAATTCATCAGCAACCACCGTAACAAACATTCATAGAAATTTAATAGTGTCAAGAATTTTTCTAAACAACTTCCAGGTATTCTGTTTTAATCGTCAGAATCCATAGACTCAGAAGGTACTTGTCCCATAAATGTTGAGTGGTCCTATATTTTGGCATCTGCCCTAATCTTTACTTTTGGATCTGCTGAAAATACACCATTTTATACCTCTTGTCTTCGACACACACACTGGATTTTCTCAGTTCTCCTCTGGCCTGATTATTTTTATTTTATTTTATTTTATTTTATTTTTTGGCAATTAACCACACTCTTGACACATCTTTTGAAAAATGGAAAATTTCAAATATGTACCTTACTTCCAGTGAGACTACAGACTGTTTGTTTGTTTGTTTTAGGCCTTGAAACCATCTTGTTCAATCTTGTCTAAAAATTGTACAGCAAAAGAATGCTTTTTTCTTTTTGAGGCATGGAACAAAAACTTCATGTCTTAAACGGTGACCATGTGGTGCACATCAAGTGCCCAGTTTACAAACTCTAATATAGAACATATTTGAAAAGACTCCCAGCTAATCCACACTGAGAGTATTTATGCACTTTTTGGGGATTTTGGCGTGGGTGTTTCTTTTCCGGAACAGGTGCTGAAGCTAAATTTGTGTGGTGTGCTTCACATACTTGGAGGTTCGCATTCAAGGCTTCAGTGGCTGTAATGAGCAATTCTTCTCTTTGTTTACTGGGAGTTGGGCCTTTCTCTGGGGTGCTGGATTTCTGTTTCTGCTCCCAGGCAGGCTGGAAACTGTTCCTGGCTGCATTCTTCCAGGCATAGAAACCTAGGGTTGATGTGGCTGGAGACTGTAGCTTGGTTGTGAGATGTGGCCCTAGTTCTGTCACTGGTCTGAACTGATTCCAGAATCCATTCAGGTCTACAGAAATAATTTTTTAAAACCTATATAATGACTTTACCTTTATTTAAAAGGTTTCCTCACACTGTTTCCTTAAGTGTCCCACCGTGGCAGGGAGGAGGTGGTGAGGGCGCGGACAAAAATGTAGTTTTAAAATCTATAAACAAAAGACTCATATTTTTGTGGTTAATTTTATTTGTGTGTGTGTGTGTGTGTGTGTGTGTGTGTGTGTGTGGTGTATGAGCACATGTGTGTACACACAGAGGCCAGAGGAGGGCGCTGAGTGTCCTGGCATCACTCACTGCTTCATCATGCTGAGATAAAGCTTCTCACTGAACTGAAGCCAGGCCGGTGGTCAGCAAGTCCTAGTGATCTTCCTCTCTCTACCCCCAACAGTGCTGTAGCCATGTCCAGCTTTTTACGGATGCTGGGAATTTGAACTCAGGACCTCATACTTGAGTAGGAAGCTCAAGTAAGGCTTTCCTGCTGAGGGAGGGCCTTGCTTGCTTAGGTCTTCGAAGTGGGCTAGCTGGTAGGGCCCGACCTGGTGTTTTCAAGCTTTAGGCTCTGTTGGGAGCTGGGCTTTCCCAATGTCTCTCATGAACTGGGTGAGAGGTGACCACACCGAAAGAACCTTGATACTTGGAAGAGTCATTGACAGTGTTATGGTCACAGATGTTTATAGTTCTTATTCCCACACCAAGCCTGAATCTAGCTTAGCCCTTATCTGCTGCTGGCAGACTATGTTCCAGTAGATCAGCTCTGAGGAATGGCCCCCTGACCTTCCAGATGCTTATTAGTGTTTCCTTTCAGAATTGGGAGACCCCAGCCTTCAATGAGAGGTGGTACAGGCTCCTTTCATGCCTTAGAGCTAAAACAAACATAAAGCACCTTGCCTGGTGACAGTCTCATCTCTTCGTGCTGTACTTTCTGTTTTGGGGGTTTGCAGGCAATGCTATCTGGCCAGTAAGCGACTAGCCTTTTAGGTTCACACAAATTTGAGTCAGTTATCAGTAATGTGATCTAGATAATGGATTAATTATGGTACAGATTCAGAGGTTGTAACACTGGCCAAAGTTTAGTGGTTTCAATGGAGAGTTTACTTCTGTCACATAATGAACACACACTTCTAGAGCCATGTGGCAACTTTACAGTATCTAGTTTGTTCTCCTCCCTTCTACGTTGGTTGCTCTGGCTTCCACAGCCAAGTCTGCACCCTAGTCAGTGTGAAGGAAAGAACAGACTGGCTGTCTGCATGGTTGTTGTGGACTAAATGCATCAAGCCCCCAGTTCTCACTGAATCCTTTACCTCCACTGGTTGATGATAGGAAAACAAGGGGATACGAGCCCACACATGGTCAAGACAGCACCAACAGACTAGACTTACTTGTCACTGTGAGAAGTGCCAGGGAGGGCCCTAGAATGTCCTCACCTCAGGTAGGCATCCAAGGCTACCGACGAACTTCTGGACAACTTTAACTTTGCTGTACTGAACTGTTTCTCAAACCTTACCCTGTGAAATGATTTAGTGCGTGATAGTGAACCCTGTTTAAAATTGAAATAGAAAACACAAAGCTAGGTGTGGCTGCTCAAGCCTGGAATCCTAGCACTCAGGAGGCTGAGGCAAGAGGATTGCTGTAAATTTGAATCACGACTGGGCTACATAGTAAGTTCCAGGCCAGTCTGGGCTACAGTGTGAAACCCTGTCTCAAAAATCCAAAACAAACAAAAACTCGAGTGCATCAAAGTAGGAAAAGATTATGAAATAACTTTCTTTTGGTCTTTTTTGAGACAGGGTCTTCCTGTAGCCACAGCTGGCTTGGAACTCGCTATGTAGACCAGGCTGCGTGCCTCGATCTCACAGAGATCTGCTTGTCTCTGCCTCCTGAATGCTGAGATTAAAGGTGTGCCCCACCATACCTGGCTTTGAAATACTTATTGTAATTATGTATCTGTGGAGGCTGGGGATGTAGCTCAGTTGGTAGAGTGTGTGCAAGAGGCCCTGGGTTAGACACCCAGCATCTTATAAACCATGAGTGAGGGGTGCAAGCCTGTAATCCCACCACTGGGGAGGTGGGACAGGAGGATCAGAAGCTCAAGATCATGTTCAGCTATGTAGTTTTGACCCCAGCAGGGCAACATGAGACCCCCTCTCCCCCTCTCGCCCTACCCCCTCTCTGTGAACTGAGTCACGGTGTAAATGCTTTTCTTATTATGGGTCTTGGTCAAAAGAAGTTTGAAAGCTCTCGGTCCAGAATAAGGTATGT